AGCAGTGGGGGAATCACCCTTCCCTCCAGAGAGCTGGGGGACACCTCAGGATGAGGATCCTGCTGGGACTTCCCGGTGTGGACTGGCACCATGGCAGGAGGTGTGTGCCAGGAACAGCCTGGCAGCTGAGACAGGGACATGATAGCCAGGACATTGTGTGGGCAGGGACCTCTGCCAGCTCTAAATCCACTATCTCCTTCCCTCCTTGCTCAAAGCAGGAGCTCAGCAGCCCTGGCAGGGCACAGCCTTACCCTCAGCAGCACATCCCAACAGCTACGTGTCTTCCAGCTGCAGCTTAAAAGCCCTGTGGCCTCTCTGCACCAATTCCATCTGCAAATACCCAGCACAGTCAAGCCCAAAATCTTAGTTTCCCCAGATGCAGCTCTGCCCCAGCAGGTCACAGGCTCAGATGACCAGCCCACGCTTCCACTGTCCTTAAAGCAGCGTGGAAGGGCCAGGCATGACAGTTTCCCAAAGTAGGGAGCAGGGATCCCTGCTGTTCCCTGGCTTTCAGCGGGAGCATCTCCCAGCACTGCAGTGCTGTACAGGCTGGGGCAGCTGTGGATCAGGCCGGCTGCCAGCCAGGAGCAAGAGGCAAGTGAAGTGCCAGGGCAGCAGCCACTGGGTTGAGTTGAGGCAAGGTCTGCGCTGAATGCAAGTCATGCTGATGTGGAACCCCTCCCAGGCTCCTGCTGCTGCACAACCTGGCTCTCCATACCCACTCCTCACCCAGCAGTGACACCAAGCTTTGCTACAAGAGGGGCACCTCTCCCTTTGCATCTTTCTTGGGGTGACTACACATGAAGAGGTGGCCTGGGGCTCAGGGGAACCTGCTGCTGCCCATCCACAGGCAGGGGGTTGGGCTGCTGCCTGGGAAGCACACACGGAAGCGGCACTACTCCATCCAGGTGGTTTCTCATCTCTTATTGCATGCAGGGAGCACCTCCTGCCTCCTTGAGCTCAGGTGAGAGGTGTCAAGCCCAGGGCTTGACACAACACAGCACAGATCTTCACCCCCAAGACCAACTCCCCCTTTCCATCCACCACCCCCCCTTACACTGCAAACCACTGCCCCAGGAATCCAACACTCTCCACAAGAGGCACGAAGGAACTTGGTGTCCCACCGCTCAAGAGCTCAATTAGCCCCAATCAATATTTGTTCACAGCTTTCACCATCTTGCTCAGTCAAGCCTAACTACGTACTTAAGTTCAAGTACTCCTAAAGGCTTTTCTGTAACTCCCCTGTTCCCTGCTCACCCAGTGCTCCACATCCTCCTGACTCCAAGCACTCTAAAAGCCAGTTCTATCTGCAAACATAAAGCCAAACACTGCAGAGGCAGCAACAGCACCATTTGGAAACAGCCCCGAGGACGGTGAACCCTGTGAGGAACAGCAAGAGGGAAACTCACACGCTGCAGCACACGGAGCAGGGATTGTGCCAGAAAAAACCACAAAGCCTCTGCTGCTGGATTAGTGTGAGGGTTTCAAGTGAACCTGCAGCATAAGCAGAGAGCTGATATACTCGTAAAATGGTGTGAGAGGTCACTTGTGCCAGATCTGAGCCACTGACAGGATTTTGCTGTGGTCACCACCTACCTCCCATGGTCTGCTCCACAAGGAAGCTGATCACAAACGCATTCTAATTACACTGGGCAAGGAAACCCTGGAGAACACCGGGATTCTTGGGGTAAATACAGAGATATTTGAGATTTGGGAGGAGGGTTCACCTCATGTTCACCCACAGCAGAGGTGAGTGACCCTGGAGACCCTCTGAGCAGGACAGCACTGCCCCCTGCGACCTCGTGGAGCAGCTGGCTCTGCCCACCCACTGCCAGGAACAGAAGGAGCAACCCCCTTCACCAAAAGGGAGCCCAAAAGTTTGCTGAGTGCTCTCTTTCACACTGGCTATGCTGTCACAAAACACAAGAGCCCTCCGTGGTGTAAGAAGGTTTATTATCGTGTCTGTACAGTCCTCGGCAGATGCAGTTTAGATGATTCCAATCTGGAAAGAAGCAAAGGATGTTAAAGCATGTTATGGTGGCAAAAAGGCAGAGCCTCCACCAGAGACATCACAGCCACAGCTGCATCTCCCCAGGATGTCTGTCCTCCAAGGACAACTTCTTCCTCCCAGACCTACCCAAAAGCCTTACACATCCACTTTATAACTTTATTCCAGAGTGATCCTTGCACATTCCCCTACTCCAATTTGTACCACCACTGCCTCCTGCCACCTCGAGGACTGAACTGACAGGGAATGTGGCTGTGTTCCTGAACACTCAGATCCTGCCTGGCTACAAGGACACAGAAGTGCCACCACGCTTGAAGCACAAGTAGCTCACGTGCACAGCAGGAAGAACAGTCAGTGAGGGAGACACAAGACAACTAACAGGGAGCTGTAGAGCTTCAAAGATGTCTCACCTTGTTGGCCACATCCAGCGCATCATAATCCGGAGCCAGTCGGACATAAGCCTTTTTCTCCCCGTCAGGCCTAGAGAGGAACACGAGGCATCAGAACAGGGCCAACTCCTCCCTCCCCCTCTGCTTTCCCACTGTTCCCATGTGCATCAGTGGTTCCTTTGGAAACATCACTGTTACTCAGTGGAACTGAAGTTTACATCATTTGCACAGGACCCCCTGGGTGTTGGAAGAGCCCCCTGACAAAGCTCTGGTCTGCCAACACTTCCCACTTCCACCAAGCTGTGCTCCCCTCACAACTTGCAGGTCTCAACACCTTTAACAAAGAGATCACAAAATTATTTAGGTTGGAAAAGACCTCTGAGATCAAGTCTAAGCTTAGACCAATCACCGACTTGTCAACTGGACCATGGCACTAAGTGATTTCTTAAAACACCTCCAGGGATGGCGACTCCACCACCTCCCTGGGCAGTCCCTTCCAATGTTTAACAACCCTTTCCATGAAGAAATTCTTCCTGATGTCCAACCTGAACATCCCATGGCAGAGATGGAGGCCATTTCCTCTCACCCTGGAGAGGACATTGCTACACAGCTTTATCCCACTCCTCCTGAGAGTTCCCACAGCTGCTGAAACTCACACACACTCCCACTTTCAGCTAAAAAATGCTTCTTTTGAAGCACCTCACACTCACCAGTGACCTGTTTTTACCCCCCTTCTCACCTAATCAACGTGTTGACCTTGGCCACATCGATATCATACAACTTCTTCACAGCCTGTTTGATCTGGTGCTTGTTTGCCTTGACATCGACAATGAACACCAGGGTGTTGTTATCCTCAATCTTCTTCATGGCTGATTCTGTCGTCAGAGGGAACTTGATAATGGCGTAATGGTCCAACCTGCAGGAGAGACCCTGTGCTTAGCAGAGGGCTGGCCAGGTGCTTCTCTGCACTTTGGGGGCCTTCCCTGGGGTGCATCAGTTGCCAAAAAAAAGTTGTAATCACAAACTCTCAGGCTTTGGTCGCTTTAAATCATCACCTGCACCCCCTAAACACTCCCTCCAGTGCTCTGTCACACACACACGTGTCTGAGCACACTGACAAGGTGTGACCAGGTGAGAGGGAAGTCCCCATACCAGCCCACCTCCGGGTCTGCTCCCACCCCCCAAACCCCACAGGGGGGCAAAGTCCAGCACTCCACACGTACTTGTTCCTCCGTGGGGCGCTCTTCCGGGGGTACTTGGGCTGCCTCCGCAGCCGCAGGGTCTTGGGCCTGCGGAAGGTGGGCGACGTGCGGATCTTCTTCTTCTTGTGGCTGTGGACCCCCTTGAGAACAGCCTTCTTGGCTTTCAGCGCCTTTGCCTTCGCCTCTGTCTTCGGAGGCACAGCTGCGGGGACACCTCAGTGAGCCGGGCACGGCCTCCCCTCCTCAACGAGCAGGGCCAGCGGCCCGCGCTCCCTCACCCAACCAAAATGAACCACAAAACGCCCAATGCCGTTAATACTTCCCCCCTTCCCCAAAAACAAACCAGTTCCCGAAAGGAAAGAGGCATTAAGTCCTTCTCCCACCAAGATGGGGACACCCCCTCTCAGAGAACCGGGCAGGCCTATCCCGGCCACCTCCACGTGCCCGCGCCCAGCACCGCGCCGCAGCCCTGCTGCGCCCACCCCGCCCCGCTCAGCCCGCCCCTCTCCACACACACTCACACCCCGTGGGGTCCCTCACGCCGCCCCGCATCCCCCCCCACACGGACCCTTCGCCCCGCGCCCTCACCCTCCTTCTTCGCCTTCGGCGCCATCTTGGCCGGGCGGAAGCCGAAAGGGGCCTCCCGTGCCGCGCCGCACGGGCTTATAGCGCCAAATCTCGCGACATCAGGAGCGACTCTCCCCCCCCCCGCTACCCCGTTACACGAACTCTCGCGACTACTTCAAAGCATGCTGGGAATAGTAGTACTTAGCGGTAGATGAGTCCGCGCATGCGCCGAGCCGTGGGGAATCATGGGAGTTGTAGTCAGGCACTCCACCCGCCGTCGTGGCGTGGGGGGGACCGGGAGAACCCCGGGGTGGCGGGGGGGTCACCGGGATCCCACAGCGCGGGTGGCAGTGCAGTGGCTCAGCCCCGGAGGAACCGGCGTCCTGGCCCCTCACACGCCCCCCGTGGGAGGGGCCAGGACGCCGGTTCCTCCGGGGGCTGGGCGTGCAGCGCCGGGCACCGCTACGGGAGTTGGGCGGTTCGCGGTAACGGGGACGCCTCGCTTCATCCCCCGCGCCCTGGGGACACAGACGAGGCGGGGAGGGCTTGGTCTTGGGCTGGGATGCGGCGGTGGGACTGTGGAGGCTGTGCAGGGGCGACACGGGGTGGGAGGGGACACGGGACACAGAGATGGGAATGGTGGTGGGGGGACATGGGGACGGACGGGCTGCGAGAGGTGGGACACGGGGACAGCGTTGAGCCTGGGATGGCACCGTGGGGATGTGGGGGCGACTGGGACACGGGCATAGGTGCGGCGTAGGGTAAATGGTACCCGGGTGTGTAGGGATGTGGGGAGGGTGGGACATGGGGACAGCTGCATGGCGGGATGTGGGACAGCCACAGCTCAGGGCAGGAGCACAGTGACACCCTGGCATGGCACACTTGGGATGGGGGGTTGGCTGGGACACGGAGACAGCGGAGACTCGGGGACAGCTGTGGCCAGGGTGTGCGGACAGCCACAGTCAGGGTGCTCGACGTGGCTGGGTTGGGGGATGGCCATCCTTGGGCATGCGGGGAGAAATCAGAACACGAGGACTACCACATCCTGGGAAAGCGGGAGACTACTGGGATAAGGGGACAGCCCTGCCTGGGGACATAGGGACAACCCTATTCGGGAACGCTGTGCACGGGGACAGCCGTGACACGGGGACATTGCCACTCTCTGCTCTCTCTGTCCCCAGGCCTCACAGTAATCCTTGTCCCATCCCTGCTTCCCCCGGCCACCCACCCCGCCTCGGAGACCCCACGGGACGATGAACGTGCTGGCTCCGGTCCGCAGGGACCGGGTCATCGCCGACCTGCCCCCGGTGAGCGGAGGGGACACAGCGGCCCGGGGGCGGCCTCGCCGAGCCCCGCGGTCACACCGGTGCCCCTCTTTGTGCACCCGCAGTGTTTTCGGAAGGAGGCCGCCCTGCAAACCCGCCCCGCCTTCCACCCCACAGTGGCCAGCGCCTGCCAGGAGCAGCGGACGGGCACTGTGGGGTGAGTCCGGCGTGGTTTGGGGTCCCCACCGCGGGGCTGGCAGGGGGTGACGAGGGGCCCCCACTGTCCCGCCGGCCGCGGGTGGGGGTCCCCGGCGTGGGCGCCGCGTGGCTGCCGGCGCTGCCCGTGTGCCGAGCCCTGCGTCACGATCCTGGAATGCGGCGCGGGGGGAACACGGGGTGGGGGAACACGGGGTGGCGGAACACGGGGGTCCGGGCTCGGCTGCGGCAGGAGAGCCGGGGTGTCGGGAGCTGCGGGCACGGGGGGACTGTGGGGTGATGCCTCCCCACCCCATGAGCCCCTCTGCCCCCGTGACCAGCCAGGGGGACGCAGGGGGGGAAGCCTCCCTCCCCCTCCCCTCCTGCCCTGCTGAGCTGTGCATCCCCCGCCTCGCTGCAGGTTCAAGATCTCCAAGATCATCGTGGTGGGGGACCTGTCGGTGGGGAAGACCTGCCTGATCAACCGGTAACGGGACCCCCGGAGAGGGGAGGGAGGAGGGGGGGAAGGGGAAGCGACTCCTCTCCCCCAAAGGGTGGCAGTGCCTTGGGCTGAGTCCAGCTCTGGCTGGACTCTGGTCCTGAGCACCCCCAGGATGGGGGGGCACTGAGCCACCAGGGGTTGGAATTGGGAGGGCTGTGGGCTGCTGACCCCCCCCTCACTCCTGCCCCAGCTTTTGCAAGGACACTTTCGACAAGAACTACAAGGCGACCATCGGTGTGGATTTCGAGATGGAGCGGTTTGAGGTGCTGGGGGTGCCCTTCAGCCTTCAGCTGTGAGTAGGCACCGTCCCAGCCCCTTCCCCACACACCCCTGTGAGCCCCCCTCACCTCCCACCCTCTCCCCCAGGTGGGACACAGCTGGCCAGGAGCGCTTCAAGTGCATCGCCTCCACCTACTACCGCGGAGCACAAGGTGAGGTGCCCACCCTGTCTGACCTCTCTGTCACGCTGTCCCTGTCCCCATCTCACCCCTCCTTCCCGCCCCAGCCATCGTGATCGTCTTCGACGTCAACGATGTGGCATCCCTGGAGCACACACGGTAGGTGACACGTGGCCAAAGGGTCCAGGTGGGACTAGGAATGAGTGTGGAGGGCTCTGGGAGTGGATGGAGAGGGAAGAGCTGGGCAGGGGCCACGGGACTGCTGGCAATGCTGTGCTGTGCCAGCAAGCTTGGCCACCAGCTGGTGACAGTCACCCCCACAGGCAGTGGTTGGCTGACGCCCTGAAGGAGAACGACCCGTCCAACGTGATCCTCTTCTTGGTGGGCTCCAAAAAGGATCTGAGTGTGAGTGTGTCCCCCTCCCCGTGGGCAGACTGCACCCTGGCTCAGCAGGGCTGTCCCGGTCACCCGCTGCCCCCGGCTCTGTTGGCAGACGCCGGCGCAGTACAGCCTGATGGAGAAGGACGCTCTCAAGGTGGCCCAGGAGATGCAGGCGGAGTACTGGGCTGTCTCCTCGCTCACTGGTGGGTCCCGGGATGAGTGTGGGGGGATGCAGATCCTGGCATCCAGCTGGGTGAGGGGGCACTCAGGGGGTCTCATCCTGTGGGGCAGGGGAGAACGTGCGGGATTTCTTCTTCCGTGTGGCGGCCCTGACCTTCGAGAGCAGCGTGCTGGCCGAGCTGGAGCGCAGCCACACCCGCAGGATCGGCGACACCGTGCGTGAGTACCCCGGCTGGCCCTGTGTGGGTGCCTCCCCCCTTATCCCCTGACCTTCCACCCACCCTCCTTTCTCTGTCCCGCAGGGATCAGCAGTAACGAGAGCGACCTGTACCTGTCGACGCCCCGCAAGAAACCCAAGTGCTGCCAGTGAGGGGGCACCCCCTGCCCCCGCCTTGCTCACACCTATGGACCAAAGAGGGGCGACCCCGGCCGGGCCCAAGGAGCCGTCCCTGCCACTCACCAGCCCCCCTGGCCTCTTGCCTGCCCAGGCACCCCCGGCCAGGGTGGGCAGGAGCACCCATGAGGCTCCCATAGCTATGCAAACCCAGGTACTGCTCGCAGGGGGAGATGCCCTTTTGTCTTAATAAAACCTTTTTTATGCTTTTTAAGAAAAGTGTGGGGCAGAGGGCAGGGGCTGCAGCCCCCAGACTCATGGGCAGGTGGGAGGATGGAGGCAGGGAGGATGGATGGCTGCCACCGAGGAGGAGTTCCAACTCTAGTGGATGTCTGGGGCATCCTGCCCTGCAGAGCCAGCAGCCCTGCACTCCTCGGGGGGCTGCAAGGGACACATGAGGTGCCAGCTCCCCATCAGTCAGTCCCAGCCAAACTGGTGGTGGTCGAAGCGGGGCTGCAGGCGGGGGGGGACACAGTGGGAGCACTTGTAGCGCTCCCGGATCCACCGCCCGCCTTCACTGTCCTCGATGCAGATGGCAGCGACTCCTGTGGGGACATGGAGCACCAGGGTGTGAGGATGGTGGTCCCACTGCACCAAAAGGTGCACCCAGTGGTGCCCTGGTGCCCCCAGTCCTACCTGCCACGACCCCCCCCAGCCTCTCCACCAGCTCGATGGCCGCTCGCATGGTGCCCCCAGTTTCAACCCACTGGTCCACGAGAAGGATGCGCAGACCTGGAGGGGGCAGAGGCTGTGGAAAAGTGCCCAGTGCCCACCCTGGCAGCCCCCCCTCCAGAATGGGAGCACTCACCTGGCGAGATGGCATCGGTGCGAACCTCCATCACCTTCTCCCGGCCCGAGTAGTCGGTGTAGGGCTGTGCCACCGTCTGCACGCAGAGGTGCCCAGCTTTGCGGATGGCCAGGAAGCCTTTTTGCAGCACAGCTGCGGTGGCAGCACCTGGGGGTGGGCGTGGCACCATCAGGCTCTGCATGGGCAGGGGATGGAGGGTGTACCCTGTGCTCACTCCTGTCCCCACTCACCCAGGATGAAGCCCATGGCATCGATACCAGCCACCATGTCGATGGGATCTCCCTGGAAGGGCTGCAGCAGGTCAGCCACGCAGTCCTGCAGGCCCTGAGGGGAGATCAGAGGTGCTGGGTGCCCACAGCCCACCACGGGCACCTGCAGCCCCGGTACTGGTGCCCGTGGGCAGGGCTGGGTGCCCCGGCAGCCCCACAGAGGTGCAGCCCACCCTGGTACCCCCGTGGGGACCACCCGCCCCTGGCACTGGGTACTTGCGGGTGGCAGTAGAGCCGGGAGGGGTCCAGCCAGGCGTAGTTGGGACCCTTGACGTTGGGGGCCATCAGCGCCAGGTACCAGCCCTTCTCCCGGGCAGCAGGGACGTGGCACAGGTCCATGTGTGGGGACTGCAGGCGCTGCGAGCACTGAGCATGTAACGGGGGTGAGCCCCCCCACCTGCAGCCCCCCCAGAGCTCCCCATGGCTTGGAGTCTCCTACCCCACAGCCACACCCACACGTGGGCACCTTGAGGGCCCAGTGCACCCGTTTTGGCTCCGTACCTGGGTGCTGGTGGCGAGGCTGAGCCGAGCGGGACCGTCATGGGGAGCGTCACAGACAGCGACAGCTGAGCAGGGGCAGCCCCTGCGGCACTGGGTCCCCGCCAGCGCCCTCGGCCAGCTGGGCCCTGGGCTGCTGCCAGGCAGGAGCCCTTTCCATGGGCTGGGGATGTGTCCCAGCCAGGCAGTTTTGTGGTGGGGAGCACCAGGGTTGGATGTTTGCACTCCACAGGAGTGTCCCCAGCACCAGCCTGCCTGTGCCAGTGGTGACAGGGCATGGTGTGGGTGGCACAGTCCCCACACCACGGGTGCAAGGGTCAGCGAGCCAGAGCGGTGTTCAGGGTGCTGTCCCTGCACTCCCGGGGTGTCTCAGTCAGTGCAGGGACTTTCTGAGGCCACCATTTTGGGGTGTCCAGGCACTGTCCTCCCTGGCTGAGCACTGGCTCTCGCAGTATCCCAGCTTGCCAGGGCCGTGTCTGGATTGTCAATGGGCTCCTAGGCCAGGAGTTGGCCAAGAGGGACAGCCCTGGCAGCGTGCTGGGAATGCCGGTGCCTTGTGGGCTGCCAGCCTGGCTGGGCAAGAGGCACTGGGCTGTCCCGTGAAAGGAACCGTGGGATGGGATGCAGGGCCACAGGGAACATCCATGGGATGGGATGGGATGGGGGGATGCCATAAGCATTCATGGGATGGGATGTGGAGAGCATCCGTGAGATCGGGCATGGAGATATGGAGAGCGTCTATGGGCTGGGATACAGGGCTGCAGGAAGCATCCGTGGGATGGGACGTAGGGATGCAGGGAGAGCATCGTTCTCCCATCGGGGCCACTCCGGGGCCGGGGGCTGCGCAGGGTCGGTGCGTCACGGGGCGGGGGTTTGGGGCCGGCTCGTTACCGGCCCCGGCACATCACCCCACCGGCTGCCACAGCAACGGGGCCGGTCCCACCGGGAGGGGTGACCCCTTCCCCGCGGGCTGCTGGCGCGGGGCGTGCCGCGGCTCCGGGAGCAGCTCCAGCACCGCGGCTCTGCGGGACCCTCCACACGGTGCCGGGCCGTGCCAAGCCGTGCCGGGCCGCCCTGCGTGGGCGGGCTGCGCGACTCTATAAGGCGGCCCCACGGCGGCGAGCGGCGCGGTGCCATGTGCGCCCCGGGGCTGCTCTGCCGCCTCCCCCTCCTCCTCCTCCTTCTCCTCCTCCCGCTGGCAGCCGCCCCCGGAGCGGCCCCGCCGGCACGGCCCCGCGCCCGCCGCGGGCTCACCTACCCCGGGACACTGTGGTGCGGCGCGGGCAGCAACGCGGATACCTACGAACAGCTGGGTAAGGGCGGCGGGGCCGCTGCTACCTGTATCTTCCCACCCCCTTCCGTCCCACCCCTTCCATCCCATCCCATCCCATCCCATCCCATCCCATCCCATCCCATCCCATCCCATCCCATCCCATCCCATCCCATCCCATCCCATCCTCTTCCTATTCCACCCTATTCCATCCACTCCCTTTCTTTCCTTCCAATCCTATCTTTTCCCATCTCATTCCCAGCCTAGTCCCAGTCCCCAGTGCAGTGCCAGGTAAGTCTCCACCAATCCTGATCCAGTTGCATCCCAGTGCTGATCTACTTCAGTCCCCACCCCTGTGCTAACTGCCTGTCCCAGATCAGTCCCCAACCAAGCACCACTCCAGTTGCAGTTCATCTCTGCTTAGACCCTATCACGAGACTAATCCATCTTTGTGCTGGTCCAGTCTTGATCCACTCTTTGTCCCCAGCTGACCTGTGGTCCATCCCGCTCCCATTCTGGTCCCCTCCCAAGTGCTGGTAGACTCCCAGTTGCTATCCTGATCTCAGCCTAGACCATCTCCTGGTCCTGGTCCAGTACTGGTCCCCTTCCTGACCCCAGCATAGTCCCAGTCTCATCCCCACTGTGATGTTGGTGCAGCCCCAGTCACCATCGCAGTGCCAGCCTTGTCCCCACCTAGCAGCAGTCCAGTCACAGTCCCTTCCCATCCCACTCCAATTCCAGGCCCAGCTCAGTCAAATCTAACCCCGATCCCACTCCTAGCCCAGCTCAGCCCCACTCCAGCCCTGATCCCAACCCCATCTAGCCACAGCCCCCCTCAGCTCTGCCTGCACCTCCCTGCAGGGGAGCACCGGGACACAGACCGGTGCTGCCGGGACCATGACCACTGCCAGCACGTCATCCACCCCTTCACCGCGCGCTACGGGTACCGCAACCTGCGCTGGCACACCATCAGCCACTGCGACTGCGACCGCAGGCTGAAGGAGTGCCTGCGGCGCGTGAACGACACGGCCTCCCGCGTGGTGGGCCAGGCCTTCTTCAACGTCATCCAGGTGCCCTGCTTCGAGTTCACCTACAGGGAGGAGTGTGTGGAGCCCTACCTCTATGTCTGGTGAGTGGCTCCCACCGCTCTCCCTCCCCGCCTGGCCCCACCAGAGGTCACCTCACCTGGTGCCTCCTCTCTCTGCAGGTGCAGGGCGTACAACACGGTGGCCGTGGCGGTGCCCAGGGAGCCGGTGCTGTACGAGTTCGGTGGGGAGCTCATCGACCGGGCAGCCAGGCCCAGGGGCGTCCCTCTGAGCCCCCCTTGGAACAGCGTGGGTGAAGGAACACTCCCTGTGGACCACCACACTGAGACAGCCCTGAAGTCAGCCAAGAAAGAGAGGAAGGGGAAGAAGAAAGACAAGAGAAAGAAGGGAAAAGGTCTGAAAAAGAAAGGCCCTTCTGAGAAGGGGTTGCGGAACCATCCTGCAGCTGCTGCCCCTGCTGATCCCTCTGTGGGTCAGGACCCCTGGGCTCTGCTGCCATCCTGGGGGGAAGCATCCAACACCATCCTGAGTGATGCCCCAGTGCAGGAAGGCTTGGTCAGGGAGCCAGTGCCAGCCACTCCATCCTGGGTCCCTACTGCCAGCGGGAAGGGGAGGAGGAAGGAGAGGAACAGAAAGAAGAGGCTGAAAAGCCAAGCTGAGTCCAAGCTCACACGAGAGTCCTGAGCCCCCCCCTTGGTGCTGTGCGGGTCTTGGCTGTGAAATAAAGTTACATCTGCTCGAGCAGATGGTGCTGCCTCAGCCCTGTCTGTGGGGGAAAGGATGGCCCTGGGGGCAGCATCCAGGGGAAATCCTGGGGCTGATCTCTCAGGAGGGGAACACACAGAGCTGGGTGGGTAGTGAGGGGTTTGAGCTGTTCCTCACAGCTCCCACCATTGTCCTGGGCACTGGGGACATGAGTCACTGCTCTGGCTGGGACACAGCTCCCAGACCCACACTGCCACAGGGCTGAGCCCAGATTTTAGCTACCCTGCTGCAAAGGGTTAAATTCCAGCTCTCCAGGCATGTTTTTCTCTGGAATTTCTCTGAATTGCACCACCCCACCTCTCTCATCCTCTTAACCTGCTGTGTTTCCAATGCTCCCACACCAGCACCACCTCTTTTCTCCAGCCCCCAGCAATGGCTGCTCTGGGAGGAACAGGGCCTTGGCCCTCCCTGAAGGCTCCTCAAACGCCTACAAAGGCTCCTTAGCCTGGGACAATAGAAG